AAACCCTAAACCCTAAACCGAAATGGTTGAACTATTGGGGTCGAGGGTCGGGTTGGGAACCTCGGAGCAGGAGCCAATGTAGAGGTCAGAGCAGCAAATATGGGTGGTTGTCAAAATTATGGTCCCTTTTCGGGTCCTTATTATAATACGGCACCTATTATTTAGGGTACCCCAAAAGGGACCATCATTTTGACAACTACCCATATGTAAGTTGGAGCTGCTGAACTGAGGTGTCCGGTTTAGGGTTTGGGGTTTCTAGGATTTTGAGTTCTGAGGTTTACTTCGAAGGTCGCGGGATTTTAGGCCATGCAGAGGGCCGAATACCTGGCGGATTACAGCATAGTTTTTAGCGGGCTGGAAATGCTGATTCTAGGCCTATTCCAGAAAAGGTAGTGGGCTTTGTTGATATACAAGGGTAGACAAGGAGGCTGCATCTCGTCCCAAGCAGGAGAGCTGCACGGGGACCCCGGAGTTTCTTTGTAGGTGTCAGAGGACCTCACAAACCGTATCCATATTCAGGAAAGCCGCCTGTGGCGCAGCCCTCAAGTCTCAATTCTAGACCCTCCGCAGACCGTGAAACGCCAGGATGAAAGCGGGAATGATGTCATTCACGTTACCCCAGAGGCTGGCATTCCAAGTGTCGAACTATCCCGAAATTCCAAGACCCCTCAAATGAGGAATATGCCTTGCCTTGAGTATACGGGCGACGGATTCTGGAGTCTCTGGGCATCTGTCGCACTAAAATACCGCCAGTATAGTGCCGTATCACGCTGTGTTGCAGCTGCACCATGCAGTAGTATCTGTACTACTACCGGAGTGAAGCACGCCGAACAGGAGAGTCAGAGATTTCTGGATTGCCACGTCAAAAACTGCCATATTGCAGACATCGCATTGGGCCGAGTGGGTCATAATCGACTTTCGACCTTGACACCAGGTTTTATTCCGTCCCTAGTATTTGCAGAAGTAGTTTGCGAGAGATAGCACCACAAAGTACTACCAGCACTAGCATATGCGGTTAAGGACCAGTCCTACGTCAGTAGAGTATGTTAGCTGCATCCCTTTTTCGGTTGTGGCTCTGAGCTTGCCATTTCGTCGCGGGGGTTGATTTCACAAACCTGAAACCCTGGGTACGGTAAGGGAGACAGGTTTAGGGTTTTCAGTTTAGAGGTTTGGTCCTTTTGCCCTGCATGTTTCCTGCGTTTCAGTGCTTGCGGCAGCAGTTGTGCTAGGAAGGCCCGCGCGTGTCAAAAGATGTCTGCAAGTGTAGGCCTAAGCTGTTTTTGCCCCAAACCCTAAACCCGAAGCCCGAAACCCTGCTGTTTAGCTTAGCTCCAGAGCAGCGAAAGGCTCAACTTTTTAGCTTCTTTTGCTTGCTTTCTGCGCAGGCGGTGAAGATAGTGCGGCTCTTAATGGGTCCGCGACCACCCAGAGACTCTAACTCCAACCCAAGAAATACACCTTGAATCTACGAAGGATTCCGGAAAGGATTTTGCGGTGTATATTTCTCAGTTGAAGTGCTTGGGAGTCTTTGGTCAACAATGGGCAGTAGTCGTTACAAGTTCGTTCATGCAAAGTTGAAAAGGTCGAAAGCGCCTTTTGTTCCGCGTGCGAGATGTTTTGCAGCAGAATCAGCCATGTAGAAGCTCGAGGGACTGGACCGTAGGCTCTCAGTAGGTTACTCCCCCTCCGCCATTTACGGTTCCGAATATAGCGTCCATGGTCCTAAATCACAAAAAAACACATCGTAAAGACCTGCAAGACTCTCTAAAACATGTCACAGGAATCCTCATTACAGCTCGAAAGGTCTCAAGGCAAGGTAGGCACCAGATAAGCCTGCAAGACTTGCAAGACTAGGCTGTAGATGTTCCAAAAAACTCCAAACCCTAAAACCAGAAAAATCAGAATTTCCTCAAGGCCCTAAAGCTTGAAGCCGTAGACCCTGAGACCCGGTTCCTTATCACTTAAGGCTGTAATGCCTAAAGACCCTAAAGCACCGAGATTGAAACAGGAGTTTTGCACGCCTAGCACTAAAGGCCTTGAAATCCTAAACCCCAGACGCCCTCAACGACCCCCAAGACCCAAAGCACCTCCAAAGCTCTAAACAATCCCAAACACAAACAACAACATCACAACGTCAACCTGAAAACCCTAAGCCCATGTTGGCGTAGCCCAGGTTGCAGAGAAGATGAAATCCCGAGGCGCTGCACCGGGCAATTCGGTGCGGTTCTCAGGGTATGATGAAGGTGGTGGTAGCCAGGGCATATAATTAGACCCCTTCATGAAGGAATATGTTTCACATCGGAATGCTAAGCACTCTTAGAAGCTTTAGCTACATTCCTTAATGAGGAGGTATTGGGCTCTCTGAGAAGCAAGCAGATCTCAGGCGATGCTCTGCACAGTTCACCCATGCAGACACTTGAGCCGTCTGCTACTTCTAGTTCGCACCGGTCGTTGTATTCTGCAGTTCTCTTCAGTGTATAGACGAGGTCCTTTTCATTATGCGTGCATGACGAGTATGAAAAGTCTTGTTCAGATATGTACTTGTGTACGTCTATGTAAGTGCATGGTGTCCAGACCACATTGTGTGTACATGCATATATAGCATACACATATACATATATACACACATATATATATATATATATATATATATTGTATATATATATATATATACACACACACATATATATATATATTCATTATTTATTCATTTATTTATGGAGGGGGCTTAGGGCAAATAGGGGCCGA